GTTTGATGACAAATTGTCAGCAAAAATCGTACAAGGTTTGCGCAACGTTGTATATAATGACAAAAACCAAGCAAGTTTTGCATAGCGTTGTCTAACGACAAATTGGACGTAATTGATATTAAAAAATCTTTAAAAATGACGTTTTTATACTTTTTTAAATTTTATTTTAAAGGAATAATTTTAAACTGTTTTATTAATAAAAATTAATATACATATTTTACATTAAAGTAATTTACATTATTTTACATTCAATTCCAAGAACACTTTAATCTAAAGACATCACAAATGCATATATTTTCGCCTTTCTCCTAGTGACCATTTTTAAGTTCTTATACTCGTAATTATTAGCCTATACGTTGTAAAAACATTATTCATATCTCGCACTAAGTGCATACACGAAAAATGCGCAAATAATTATGACAAGTCCGAAATTCCATTAGACGTTGATTATATAAAAGAACTCGATAAATTTTAAATGCAAGAAACAGATACCAGCAAACACTATTTAGCGGCAGTCTTGTAAGTATTCAATGACAGAGGAGATTCTGCTCGCTTGCACAGTTTCTGGAAACAATTTGTCGTCAAACAACGCTACGCAAAGCTTACATGATTTTTGTCGACAATTTGTCGTCAAATAGTGTTACGCAAAAGTTGCTCGGTTTGTGTCGACAATTTGTCGTCAGATAATGCTACGCAAAACTTGCATGGTTTTTGCTGACAATTTCGCGACAGATAGAGCTACGCAGGTCGGTTTTTGATGACAATTTGTTGTCAGATTGCCTTACGCAAATTTTACTCGGTTTTTTGTGACAATTTGCTGTCTGGTGATATAAGTAGGTTTGCTCGTATTTTGCCGCCGATTTCAAATTATCAGCAGATTTTGTAATATATCAGCTAGCATTTTGTTGGCATCATTTGATAAATCAAATTCTGTATTAAATTTGTATTTTTCTTGCCAACAAAATTTGTAGCAAGATTTTACATGATCTGCTTTTGACAGATCTGGCTATCTGGGCAGCTAGGGTCAGCTTTATTACGCCAAGGATTGCATCTTTAAAAATCACTTGTGTAAAACTTGCAATACCGTGAGTCACAAGAACGATTATTGCAATTCAAGCAAAAAAATGAAGAGTAATTCAACAAATGAGTCAACGTCCACACATACAAAAACTATCTCAGCAGTAAATCAATTTAACGAGACACTCCTTCGTAAATATGTCAATGTTACAATCAATTCGAAGACTGTCAAACTGCACACCAGTTCAGATATCACAATAATTTCGAAAGACACTTGGAAATTTTTGAGATAACCATCAGTTCAACCTTGTACGTATTGCTAAGGATGCTTTAGATAACCCGTTACAAATTTTATGGTAAATCAACTGTCTCGCTAAACGGAGTTTCACGTCAATTCGTCACGCTGTTATGTAACTGCAAATACCAATTTAAATCTTCTGGAATTGCATTGGCTAAACGCTTTTGATCTATGGCATAACTCAATGAACAGTTTTTGCAATCATATGTCGCTAATCCCTCAATTCAAATTACAGTATTACAACAGAAATTTCCTAACGTTTTTAATTCTGATATGGGGTACACTAAAAGGTCTCTTGACGTTTAAAATCAGATGCTAGACCGATATTTCGGCCAAAACGATCTATTGTCTACTCAATCCTCCCATCTAGTCGAAACAGAACTTACATGTCTTGAAAAAGCAAACGAATTATATCTTCTGTAACCTCCGATTGGGCAACACCAATTATTGTCGTTTGCAAGAAAAACGATCAAATCCGTATATATGCAGATTTTTCCACTTGTGAGTTAAATAATTCTTTGGAACCAAATCGTCATCCATTGCTACACCCAGATGAATTTTTTATTAAATTATCAAATGCAAATACTTTAGGTAAATTAATCTCTTATATGCTTTTTTACAAATTGACTTCGACGAGGATTCAAAGTACTTTTTAACGATCAACATACATCGCGGTTTTTTTGTATACAACCGTTTACCCTTTGGTGTTACTGTTGCTCCTGGCGAATTTCAAACTACTGTTGACGCCTTAACTGCTGGTTTCGACAAAGTATTCGCATATATCGATGACCTTGTTATCGGAGGAACGACAATCGAAGAGCATGATCACAATTTATATGAATTGTTCAAACGCATCCAAGATTATGGATTCCATATCCGCATAAAGAAATGCAAATTTTTCGCAACAGAAATCAATTATTTGGGATACTTCATTTATGGACAAGGATTATGTCCAGATCTTAAAAAAATTTCTGCAATTGTCAAAATCTCAAAATGCCAGCATCCTCCGATCTCACTACATTACATTCATTTTTAGGTGCCATAAATTACTATGGGCGCTTTATTCCAAACATATACGTTTTACGACAACCTCTTGATCACCCACTAAACACAGTTATGTTATTGTTACATTATTATTACACAATTCAACGTAACAAATAATGTTATGTTGATATTACAAGTAACTTGAATACAAGTTTCAATTTCCGCCTCAACAATGTAATAACATAATGTTACCTGTCACATAACAGTTATGTTATTCAATTATGTAAATAGTAAGTATCCGAACCGTGAATCGGTAATCAGGAAAACGGCGTAGCAAAACAGATTGAGGCGCGTGGTGCTCTTTTTCTTCGCGGCCGACAAAAATTCGATGCGAGTTCGTGTCCCCGCAGTGTCAACATTTTTTTTTATGTAAACGTTATATTTTCTAATTAATTATGTTATAATTAATTTATTTTTTTCTTATAAACAAAAATACTAATTATTGCACAATTTTCGTTATAAATAATAAATAACAAAAGTTTTAAAAAATTTTCATTATTTATTATAAAGTTTTTAAATAAATTTATTATTTATTATAATGTTTTAAAATTAATTTTTATCCACAAAATTGTACGGCAATGTCAACATTTTATAATAAATAATTGTATGGCAATGTCACACGCGCACGCACGCACGCACGCACGCACGCACGCACGCACGCACGCACGCACGCACGCACGCACGCACGCACGCACGCACGCACGCACGCACGCACAC